TCAAAAGCTTTGCAACCACCTTTTAATAATAGTATATTTACATCAGCATATCATACTCTATTCTCGGGAACTGGTGTTCTCTTTTTTAATGAAGGAAATGGAATCTTTTGTGAACATTTTGTGAGCATTTGACCTAACTCCTGATTTATCAGCCAACTCATCAGCTCATTGGAATCTCATAAAGCATGGTAGTGTAAGATTAGAAGTACGATTTGAATTGTCACTAATACAAACAACTAACTGTATAGTTTATGCTGAGTTTGATAATGTTATTGAGATAGATAAAAACAGAAATGTTACTTAGACTATAGTAGTTAAGGTTATAATATGTGTTGTGTGTTAGATTTTATGTGTTATGTGTAATGCATTTTGTGTGTAATGTAACTATGTGAAACGATATAAAATTAAATAAAACAAATTGTATGCAATATATTATTTTATATTTCTTTATAAATCTTCTATTTAATCTAATACAAAACTCTGTTCGAGTTTAAAGTTACATCGGACTCTCTCATTAGATCATCAATAATAACAAGATGTGGGTTTTCATCATCAAACATATTAAGATTTGGAATTCCTTGATGATAGTTAACATTTGGTAATTTATATAAAGGTTGCATTTCATCAAAGCACCATGTGATCTGATTAAAATCACAATTACATATTTCTGTAACTGATTTTATGAAATTTGTTACAAAATTTGACTTCCCACATCCACTTGGTCCTGCCACAATAGCAGTAAACGGATGTATAAAGTGAAACATTACACACGTCTAAAGTTCTAAGGTTTCACACCTTAGAACTTTGAAATAAAAAATTAAAGGGAAATCAAACAAAATTTATGATTAATTTAAAATTTTATTTTCAAGCAATAACCACTTGTAAAAAAACCACACTTCATCACAAGAACAATGTAAAATTTTGTGATTATTTTTTGTAAATATATGATTATTACACACATAACGTTTGTTTAAATTTATGACATTTACCAAATCATTGTATTTTGGACATTTGTATTCTTCAATATTAAAAATTCCATCATTAGCCGTCAACATTTTTAAAAATTGTTTTTCTGCTGAACCACCTTTGTATGCGATCACTTCGTCTTTGCACAAATTTCTAATATACCAATTAAATATGGGAATGATGTTCTCTTGTTTGTAGGCACATTTTAATTATTCGGTCATATCAAAATATGGAATGCCGTGCACGTGTGTTTCGCAATAACGAACAGTTTTTTTGTCTTTGGCAACAAATAATTGAAAGGATAACTTGGCCGAAACAAATAATGATCGATAAACGCATCATTTTTATTAGATAGTTTTACGTCTAGAGTAGCCATTTCTCTACATTGAAAATGTTTATGAGGATATATAATGAAAAATCCGTCCATGTCGATGATGTATCTAATATTTTTTAGATTTTGTGTCATTTTGAACCAAAAACTTAAAAGTATTTACACGTGACTAAAAATATGTTTGTTCCTACAAATTTCACATAACAATGCTTCATTACTTCCCATCATCCCATCTCTTTCTTCTGCTCTTGTATTCCTGTAATTTAAGCAAACAGAATCACATTCACTAATGATCAACTAATGACTGTCATTGTTAAAAAAGTATTTTTTAACTTTTTCACTTTCTGCTATTGTCTTTTTTTTTTGGCTAGGAAATGTCCGCCACGCTGCCTCAATGTGTGTTGGTGAACTTCACATGCCTTCGAAATTTTCTCAGACATGCAGGTTTCCTCACGATATTTTCCTTCACCGCCGAGCTCGTGGTAAATCAGCACTTAAAACTGCAATTAACAATTTAGTTGGCGCAGGCGGGGATCGAACCCGGGTCGCGTACTGTGAAATTTACGGCTTGCGCTAACCATCTGAGCTACCACGGCTTAATCATATAAACACATAATATTTCAATATAATTTGTTAACACTAAATCATACACACGTAAGAAATTAACAGAAAGAAAAGTAAGTTTGTCAGTAGAATAAACACCTACATCCATGGCCTTTGATGCGTTGAAGTAACACAAATGTAGTTTGATAGATCCACTGCGGTCAAACGACCATACACGAACTCCATGACTGCAGCTGCTCGGTCTTATATAGTACCAGTAAGTAATAATTCTAATCTAAAGAATTTCTGCAGTGGAACTGATAGTTCGAGTATCTTTATGCACCAACAAGCTTATCTCACATTCTGTTGCTTATCTCAACATTTCTTCGTGTTGCGTCTTGTTCAGTGTATTGATGACTCAAATACGATTTGTATAACACAAAAGAATCCAATTTAATATTTAGATATCACTATAATTGATCATTCCTATGTTAGTCATTGAGTAGATTGGTACTGTAATAATCTACTAATAGCAGTAATATCATGGATACACTAGATGTACAACAACATCTGAAAAAGATTCACCCCAGTCTAGAAAATAATGTTTATGCTGCTAATAGAGTGCCCATGTATACCCACGTACAAACGTATATAATATGCAATTTGGGTACAGATGATAAACTAGGGTCACATTGGGTAGCTTTATATATCGATACGAATGACGTTGGTCAATATTTTGATTCATATGGACGATCACCTGTACGATATCATCTAGAGTTTTAAAAAAGGAATTGTAAAAGATGGAACTGGAACGTTGATAGGATTCAGAATGAGTGGACTTCAGTTTGTGGCGAATATTGCTTAATGTATTTGCTATATAAGTTTCAGGGATGTTCAATACAAAGCTTTACGAGTATATTTACCGGGACCACATTGTACAATGATACTTTAGTGGATGAGATGTTTCGCTCCTATTTTATAGACAATAACTAATAAGATTTTGTATTTTGTAAATAAAAATTGTAACAAAATTAGGTAATGTGCTTTATTGATGATTCAGATTAGCGTTGTAGATAGGAACAAAGAAGTATAATACAATAGCACTGATAAGCCGACGCATACGCCCAGGAAAAATAGACAATGGCGGTATTCAATGAACAATAGTTAAATAGATAAGAACAATGGGGCGCTAATGACGGTGGAGGCCCTCACCGGATATCAATTAGATAAGAGTTAATTGATCTGCACATCTCCGGAAATGTGCATCCTACGCAAAAACGGACCGCAGATTCGTGATCGGAGCATGCCAAAACCTTTCTTTTTTTTAGGATCGTGAGTCGGCGAACGTTGTACCACTCCTGACTCAGTGAGCCAGAAGAGGTATTACCTATCTACTTTTAATTAATCAATTTTCATGCGTAAACTTGATGCGATTTTGTGTCTTAAGCGTCTGCGCATGTGAAGTATTTGTAGAACGACGAGACAAGTGCTTTGATACCTCAAGTTACTTTTTCCGCATAAACGCTTTAAGAACTAGAGACACTGTCGTCATCGATGACTCGTTGGGTTAACCTGTCGTCAAAACCTTCCAAGGAATTCTCAATGTGACACATTAGCAATAAAGATAATTTCTTATTACTTTACACTGGCAAAAGTATAACTGTATGAGTATATCACCAAAGAAAAATAATTGTGTACAAGTACAAAATGTACTTACGAGGGCGACACTGTAAGTTTTTAGAACTGGCCACTTATAAATGATATAATAAAAAAATAAGTTCAAATCTTGAAAATGGAACTCTTTGCCAATATTAATGCTTATGTATTTTATTAAATTGTCATCTGTTTACGATTTGGCGGCAAATTGAAAATTGTCTGTGACACGTCAGCATTAATTTAACGCAAGAAATTTTTCGTACAATGATTTTTTATGACTTTGAATGTCATTTTAGTCAACAAGAAAGTTACGATAGATTTAGATTGGCCTTTCACGATGAAGCCCTATATCGTGCCACTGTTTACAACTGTTTTAATGAGTTTAAACGTGGTCGCAATAATCTCACCGATGATCTGCGTGAGGGACGGCCTTCTACGGCGACGACTGAAGATAACATCAGTGTTGTGTGGCATATGATAGAGACTGACAAAAGAGTGACTTGTCAGCAGATTCGCACAAGCTTAGGCATCGGTATGAGTCAAGTGCACAAAATCCTCCATGAATGTTTAGCGGTCAGGAAGCTTTGTGCTCGGTGGATACCTCATAATTTGACAGAGGCCCAAAAACTCTGTCGTGATGATTGGTGTCGTGAAATGGTTCAAAAATTTAACGGAGGTGACTCAAACGCCGTGTTCAACATACTTACGGGTGACGAAAGCTGGATTTATTGTTATGTTTCTGAAACTAGAGAGACAATCTGCTGTCTAGGTGTTTCCTTCCGAGGAGTTGTCAACTAAAGTGAAGAGAGGTCGAAGCGTGGGAAAATGGATGGTGGCCTCGTTCTTCGGAAGGACTTGTTTCCCACATGTCTTGGAAAAAGTTCGGGAGAAACGACCTCGCAATACCGCCAAACAAACAATTGACCTGATTTTTAGTTATTTCCAAAAATAAAAGAAAAACTTCGAGGAAAACATTTTATGGACGCCGAGGAAGCAGTGGCTGCGTTTCAAAATGCCGTCGAAGAGACCCCTAAGGACGAGTGGGCAAAGTGCTTTTCTCAGTGGTTCCATCGGATGTAGCGATGTATTGATGTAAATGGATACTATTATGAAAGGATTTAATAAAACTAATAACTTGTTAGTTTGTTCAGTTTTTTTTTATTTTCTAAGAACTTTCAGTGTCACCCTCGTATATTAATATTTTTTAAATGTTAAATTTAACAATGCTTTAAATCTTGACCCGTCAGTAGCCCGGGCGACTTGCAAGCAAGTGCAGATTAAAAGTTATTTCCACACGTCATTTTAAGAAAAGGCCCAAGGCCCTTTTTAACAAAAATTTTAAATTATTTTTTAAATCTTATGTTTGAACTCTTGTTGTGCCTTATATTTTTGGAGATTTTTATTGTAAAATTGTATTCATTTACTCCGAGAAGATTTTGTAGATTCACTCTATACACTCTATACTCCCTCACTCTCATAGTAATCCCTGTTTATTATAACATACCTGGCAATGCGGCAGCAGCTAGAACGTCGAAGGCCTTCTTCCTGCTGGCTTTGTCACTTGGCGGGTCCAGATCCAGTGACCCGTTCCTTGTTAAAAGACCTAACGACAAGACCATTATTCTTTATTAAATACCAAGCATTAGTTACCGTTACTGCCTTTAAAATCCAATGTTGAACATAGATAGAGCCCCCACCATAGATTGCTTCATAGGGGGGATCATTGCCATAGTTGCCACGCTTGGCAAGCGGATTGGCAACCGCAGTTTTTTTATTTTTAGTCGTTATTAGGAAGAAGCTGCTGCCCATCTCCTGATTTGTTTCCCGCTGTCGCCTCTTACGACATCCACGGGATGATATGGGGAAATATATACTATATATTAGTTAAAAGTAAATAATACATGTGTTCATATGTGAACGTAATTTGATTGACCTTACCTACTAATTAGTATCAATTTATTAGATATACAGGAATTAAGCTCCTTATTATATCAATAGAATATTTTTGACGTATTAGTTGAAAGAATGGGTCGGTTCCACTCGGACGAATAAAATACCAGCGTAAAATAGCTACATTATGCTGTTACCGTTTCATATGGTGAGTGTAGGAACCGAAGACCCTTTTTACTGAAATCGAGGCTTTCCATCTTAGTCATCATTGGTGACAGCGCATTTGCATTTTGAGTCTTCATTGACGATAGTTGTGTGACTGGACCACGTTTATAATTTGATTTTATATATAATTGAAATGAAAACGACATTATAGTCCACCTCATGGTAACTGCCACTGTTTATGAACATCTGCAGCCAACATAAACACGCCTGTCACCCATAGGGGTAATCAGAAACTACAGACTTCCATTTGGCACGACCCTGACATACCTCTCTCGCCTCCTCCACATCCATATATCTACGCATACTTGCTCGTCGAATAATTGTACTCCTAATTTGGCCCACTTTCAATATATCGCTAATTTGGTCGATAAACTTTAGCCTAGGACGTCCCTTTCCGAATCTGCCATTCACTTACCACGTAAAAATTTGATGATGATGAGGCAATCTTTGGGGGAGGCCTTTGTTAAACAGTGGATTTTAATGCGCTGTAACGGTTAACGGTAACGGACTTAGCATCTTACCTGTTCTGAAGGATGTTTTGCTGCGAAATAACTCGGGCGAGCTGCGACTTCTTTCAGCGCCCAGCAGTGGGTACCGTGGGCGCGGGACGGCGAGTTGCTCAAACACATCTCTCAGCTCCGACCGCATTACTAAACTGGAACAAATTGCTCTGTGAATTGTTCTGTCTGCAATGATTCTTTGTTTTCGAAATGAAAACTTTTTTATATAGGATAAGTGACGAACGAGCACGCTTTCCACATCATGGTAAGTGATCGCTGCGACCCATAGATATCTACATCTATCCTCGACTACGAATCAAAATGCAGATGCGTTCCAGGCAAGGCAAGGCATTCCATCTTAGTCCTCACCTCTGAGGATTAATATGGAATGCCTTGTTTCCAGTAAAAAGATTCCCCGGTTCTCTACACTCACCATACGAAATACAGTAGCATTAAACTTCTATTTTACGCTGGTATTTTGTGAGAGTGTGGTTCTTTCCCGGTTGAACCGACCATTCCGTGCTTTGTAACGCAGCTACCACATTTTTTTACTTATAAGCCCCAGGTCTGAATTGTACAATGAAAGTAATGTTTAATGACCTGCATTGAATCTAATTAGTCGATGACTGTCTTGTGTTGAAGATAGAAGATATATAAGAAAATTCAACCCCTTATTATATCCTGTACTTATCGTTAAAGGTGACAATGAGAAATACTATAATATTATAGTATTTTACATGGTAGAACCATGCTAGGTCGGCTCAAAGGAAAAGACCACGCTCTCACAGAATATCAGCGTAAAATAGCAGCTTTCGTTTCTTTTTACCGGAAATGATGCGTTACTTATTAGTCCACAGTGACAAAACAACCGCATTTTGATTCTTAATCAAGGATAGATGTAGATGTCTAAGGGCCACAGCGTCCACTTACCGTCTGGACTGGACTGGACACTGGACTTTGTGCTCGTTTATCACTCTTATCATATACAAAAATATTATCAGGACGTTAAAAAAGGGAATAAGTGGAGAGGCTCCATGTAGTTACTTCAGGCAATAGAAATACCGTACAGTACCCCGTCACTTCATCATAATGCCCAAAAGTGGAAGACCTACTCACCTGAAACTCCTGAATAATGCAACGAAATCCATAAAGTCGAGTTGGGTGTCGTAACTGACGGAACCGGTTCGGAGATTTTTTATATTCTCCCAAAACCGTTCGCTCGTGTCCAGTCGTCTCAAGCTGTGAACAAAAGAAGATATTTAGTTGGACGAGGGACTTAAACTTCGGCCTCGAGTGAACGAAGTTTGGGGCTCTTTAATACATTTGTCAGGGTACCGATGTCGATGAATACTTATTTCAATAGGATAGACCCCGTATGCAGCAGTGAATTGGTAAATTCATTTTCCTAGCCTACCGGCTAGTATATATATAGTATTAGTATTATAAGTGAAAGTACAAACTTTTATTTTTACATTGAAATGTAAGGATTTTTTTAAATATTTCAATCATCAATAAAGGAAATAATAAAATATAATGGATATATTGCAATGGAGTGAACATGGTAGCTCAGAAGCTGAGCGCTCGCTGTAAATTTCACAGTACGCGAGCAACCCGGGTTCGATCCCCGCCGGCACCAAGAGCTGTAGTAGCTCAGGGGCTAAGCGCTCGCTGTAAATTTCACAGTACGCGAGCAACCCGGGTTCGATCCCCGCCGGCACCAAGAGCTGTAGTAGCTCAGGGGCTAAGCGCTCGCTGTAAATTGCACAGTACGCGAGCATCCCGGGTTCGATCCCCGCCGGCACCAAGAGCTTTAGTAGCTCAGGGGCTAAGCGCTCGCTGTAAATTGTCACAGTACGTGAGCAACCCGGGTTCGATCCCCCGCCGGCACCAAGAGCTGTAGTAGCTCAGGGGCTAAGCGCTCGCTGTAAATTGCACAGTACGCGAGCATCCCGGGTTCGATCCCCGCCGGCACCAAGAGCTGTAGTAGCTCAGGGGCTACGCGCTCGCTGTAAATTGCACAGTACACGAAAATTGTTAATTGCAATATTAATTATTGAATTACCACGTGAACGGCGGTGAAGGAAAACATCGTAAGGACACCTGCATATTAGACAAATAAAAAAAAATTTGCACGAATGGGTCTGTTCGACCTGGGAAGGAATATCTCACAGAATGTCAGCGTTGAATAGCAGCTCAATACTGCTATGTTTCTTATAAAGAGTGTTGAGAACCGAAGCCGCATTTTAATGGAAACGATGCCTTCCATCTTAATCCTCAGGGGTGACAATGCATCTGGATTTTGATTCTTAATTGAGTATTGACGTAGATGTCCACAGGCCACAGCATGCACTTACCATCATGTGGACTTTGCGCTCATTTTTCAACCTTATCCTACAAAAAAAGCCAAGAGCCATGGGTAAAAACCTGAGTTCGGTACTCACCGGCATGAATGAAATTGTTAATTGCAATTTTAGGTGTTGATTTACCACATGCTCTGCGGTGAAGGAAAACTTCGTGAGGAAACCTATATATCCGAAAAAAGAAGAATTTTTGAGAACAAGTGACATCCACCCTCTACTTACTTTTATTTAAAAAATAACGCTACCTTCACACTAGGATTTCCTCCTGTATCATGGGGGTGGTTTACGTACATAAATTTCACAGGGGCAATACTTGTACTCTTCGGGGGCACAAGAATATCCACTACCACTACCACATAACATCCCGTGGATGTCGTAGGAGGCGACAGAGGGAACCAAATCAGGAGATGGGTAGCAGAGTATTACCAATAACAACTAAAAATAAAAAAACTGTGTGTTTTTTATTTTTAGTTGTTGGCATTGCCAACCCACTTGCCCCTAGGTGGTAATCTATAGGGGAGGCCTATGTTCAGCAGTGGACTTTAACAGGCTGTAACGGTAATAGTAATATTTGTTCCGTTGTGTTGCGGGATTCAAACCCGCGGCTGTTAGCGTTGCATCTATTTGCTAAGCCACTGCGCCACGAAACCGCCAAATTGCTCCATTAGGCTCAGAGAAATGAGGGGAGCTGCTTTTACTGCCAAGGACACGTATAAAAGATATTACTTTACTTTTATGACTCTATGCTTGACTGCTGGCTTAGTTCACTGGCCGTAAGCACAGCCTGAGAAGAACATACAGTTAGTCATCGCATTTGATGTAGTCGGAAAAGCCGACATAAACAATAAATTGCCAGGGTTTTCAGAACGGAAAGTAATAAAAAAATTAAAACACTGATTTTATTTTATTTCACGCTTAAACAAATGTCTGTGTGTGTGGAAACTGATGAAACTTTAATTCCTTATTTTAAAAAAAAAGACGACCCACAGTTTTTTTACCGCATATGTAGTGTGAAACATTTTAATTTATTTGCGGCATAGGACAACCCTAGCGGATACCTCCCGAGCGGGCATTAGTCGCTGCGGTCCGCCCGCGTCTTACCCCGCACTGCACCGCATGATTGACCCGTCTAAACGTCTTCGACGACCGACTGTTAACAGTAGTTAGACTGAACCATAAGCATGACTTCTGATCGGTTCAAATCAGTTATTTTCTGTCGAGAAATTCTCAGTAGCAGAGTCAAGAAGTTGGCGGTATTTGAACTCCGTGACGCGGAAATCACGTAAAGTCGTTGGTCCCGCGCCTGATCTCTCTCCGGTCGTGTCGGTTTACGTCCCATCGCACTATGAGAGTGAGGCAATAGAGAGTGCACCTGTGCTTGCGCATACACTCGGGCACTATAATCCTGTCCTGCGCAGAGATGGTCACTCACCGCAGAGACTGATCGGAAAAAAGAATCACTGGTTCGGAATAAATCTCTGTTCTGGGAAGAACCAGTAAGAAACCCAGCGGCTTTTTTCATGTTACATTAACTATATCTCGCTCTGCTTTCTGTCAGGTGGGATTGTAGTCCAACGTTGGTCTAAATAAGAATAAATAAAAAGAGGCAATAGCTCACCTATTCCTATTAGGTGTGCCAGCCATGATGCTGGTTGCGGCCGCTGTTAGACTGCTGTGTCGCGCCGGACAGTGCTGATGGTGACCTGAGTAGGAACTGTAGAAAACGTCATTTTTTTATAGAATCAGGAAGCATTAAGCTGCTATTTTAAGTTGGTATTCTGTGAGAGCGTGTTCATTTCCTGATCGAGCTGACCCATTCTTGCTACAACCATAATATAGCTGCAGCGTGGCTCTATCACGTATCATGCTTTGTTTTCGCTGAGTTCAGTTTTCGTTGCGAATTTTACCATGACTCCGATAATCCTCTGGTTCATCTTTAATATATTACCAATTTGGTCGTAATGCTTTCGTCTAGATCGTCCCTTGTTGACTCTATTAGTCGCTTCACTTTACTTCCATAACCATAACAGCCTATAAATGTCCACTATATAGACCACTACTACATATTGCCTTATATGGAGGAATTCGCCACAGCTACCAGGCTTGGCAGGCAGGTTGGGAACCACAGTTTTTATTTTTTATTTATTTTTACAGGTGAGAGGGCAAGCGAGGATACGGCCCACCTGATGGTAAGTGATTACCGCCGTGTATTATGTATACGGTATATATATGTGTTGGCGACGCGCCTATAAAAATGTTTCAGTTTATTAAATCAACCGATGACGTTGCTATGACAAAAGGGGCAGTCACGAGCAACGACGCTCTGATAAGAGAATGCTTAGTTAAATCTTTAAGAAATGTCGAATTAATGATATGAAGGTCTTGGGTTCGACTCCCAGGTCGGACTAGTTTGTTTGTTTTCCTAAGTAATATCGCTTAATAAATTCGTAAGGAATTTAAGATATAAATTATGTTACCGGATTTGTTCCCCGGTCGAGATAATCACTCTGTGCATAGGCAGAATTAATGGATATTAATTGCATAAATGTTGTTTTGTATAAGTTTGATACGTTTTGTACGAAAACAAATGCCTATTTGTTATGATTGATTAATGAGAACATTCATTTATATTGTTATCTGATTAAAGATAGTTTCATACAGTTCGAAAATTGTATAAAAGCATTTAATTTGCCTAATATGGTCAAAATTGGTGTATTTCATAATTTAATTTTTTCTGATAGCCGAGAGCCGTGCAAAAGTTAGTTGTTCAAATAGTGTGAGTTCATAGACGCACGCCAAGCCACGCCCTTAGGAGGCCGAATATGTAAAAATTTAAAATGTTTGTAATTCAGTGATTTATGTAAAAATTACTTGTAAAATATTTCAGGTTAATTGTACGTGCTAAAAAGGTAAATTCTGTGTTATTTTCATGTGAAAATTCCTGTGTATAAGTGAAATAATGATAGTTTTGTATAAGAAATTTAAAAGTGTTTTAAATAGTGAAATAAATAGAAAAAATGTAAATTAAACTATTGTATTGGTTAGCTTATGTATAAATTCAAGTGAGAAACATTGTTTTAACTTTCTGTGTTAAATATTTAAGAAATTTCGATTTCGAACTTGTGAGTAAAATAGGCAGTTTTCGTTTAATAAATAAAAGGTTTTTTATGATATGAAGATATGATGTATATCATGGTGTAGATATTGTTTTGTACTACCTATATTGATAAATTGTATTTGTATATGATTTGAATAAATAAAGATATTGAGTAAAACGTGAGAGAGTAATAGAACAAATTCATGTAATTGAGTTGCGCAAGCGCGCGAATGGCGCGGCTCACTTTCGCGTATAGCTCTGGGGTAGCTTAGTGAACGGGTTTTATTGCAATTCGTTCGGGAATCGTTCGGGAATCCTTCGGGGAAGTTCGGAAATAGTTCGGAAATAAATAAGAAAATCCGGGAAAAAGTTCAAGAAAAGTGAAAAACCAGCAGTATAGGGAAAAGTGATTACTCTCTCACGGAACGGTTTGAAGATAATTGCTGTTTCATTCCCAAGATCCTTTAAGTTATACAGTCCACATCGAAGAATTAAGGCGTCGGGACCGGGACGACTTCGGAAGACCCGTAATCCCCGTCTGAACCTACTTGCTGAAAAGGAAGAGGTTATCGCCCTAGTGTGTTACTCCGTTGCGGAGATCACATACGTTGTTCCCGAACCCAACGTAGGCGTGATAGGAGGCCGGATCGAGAGAAGCCTCGATTCCTGTTTCTTAGTACCCGATCCGCTAGGTCCTTTTCAATTGGTCCTTTTCAGGATCAAGAGGGACACCGACCTGGTCCTTTTCAATTGGTCCTTCGCGGCCGATTGAGAGGACGCCCGAACCTGAGTTCCTTTTCAATTGGACCTTCGGAGCCGGATCGAAGACCACCCGAACCCCGCCAGCTGGATCAAGGAACCAGCTGTGGACTGCTGGTTGTGGAAGAAGAAGACCTTCGGAAGCCGAGTGAAGATCAGCAACCGAAGGAAGCCAGAGGTTTGAGCTGAAGCAATAGGACCAAAGGCCTGAAGACCAGGACGGCAGCACTGAAGGGCTGGACCTGGAACTACCGGAAGAAAGAAAACCGGGATTGCAGCTTGGGGCGTGTGCTCGCATGGGGCACATATCGCAGCCGGGCGCAGGTGTCTTGTGAAGGCACTCATCGTGGCCAAGCAGGGCTTGGCATTTTTCCTGTCGGGCAAGCGTGCTCGGCATTTCCTGTCAGACGATCGTGTCTGGCATTTCCTGTCAGACGATCGTGTCTGGCATTTCCTGTCGGACGACCGTGTCCGGCATTTCCCGTCGGGTCATCAGGGTGCAAAAAGCATCCACCGCTGCTGCTGCCGGGCGAGGGTGCGCGTGGGCACCTGACTGCATCGCGGCCGGAGGAGGGCGCTTGGACGAGGCGTCACCGGCAACTGGGCGGCGAGCACAGCATACATCCCGACCACCTAACGGTGCCAAACGGTTGGGCTCTGGCATAACACCTTCGGGTGGAGCAGTTCTCTCGAGCGAGACTGCGCTTGCACTACCGCTCGACTGTTTCGTCATATTCCTTGGCGGGACAGTTCCTAAACCTTTCCTCCATTCCATTCCTGCACGACTCCATCCCTGGACGGCTCACCTCGGTAGGCCCCGTTCAGGATTGATAGGGCTGATAGGGCTGTTAGGGTGGTAGTAGGGTTGTAGGGTTGGGAGATAAAGGGGGGGAGGGGTAGTGGTGTTAGGTTGGGGTGTAGAAGGGTTGTAGGTAAGGGGTTGTAGGGACCGTAGGGACTGTAGGGACAGTTAGGGACCGTAGGCCAACAATCACCTTCCTGCAAGATGAAGAAGGCACAAGACCAGACAGGGAGAAGCGAAGGGAGCAGGACAAGGACAGGGCTCTCAAGAAAAGCTAAAGAAGCGGAATCATCTGGAGCGACCACAGCTACTGCGTCAAATGGAGCAACTCCTTCAAGTGGAGCCACCACAGACACGTCCACATGCACGTGGGACTCAGGGACGTCCATGGCAACGACAAGCAACCGGACGGACACCAGTGGTACACAGGCCAGCACCGCACAACAATCCGTTATATCCAGGAGTGAAACGGTGGTCGAAAAAGTAGGTCAAAGGACCGAAGAAGCGGCATCGTCAAGGACAGTAATCGGGCACACTAGTGATAAAGGGTCACAGAGAGGTAGTAGGTCATCGCGATCGGCGAGGCTGAAAGCCGAATTAGAGGCGCGGATTAAATTCGAACGCTCAGAGCTCGAACGAGCACAGGCAGCTGCTGCCTTAGCCAAGTCTCAATTGGAGTTGGCACGACTCAACCGAGAAGAGGAAATCGACTCGAGTGAGGATGATGAAGAGCGGAATACTCAGGTAGAACCTTTCGTAAGGAGTTGGGTTCAGCAAACCATAATGAGCGCGCCGGTTAGTGTAGCACAACCCGATATTACTGATAAGGAAGCGTGTAAAGGATCACGCCGCAAAGGGGCGGAGGTCGAGCGCAACCTAGGAAATGCACAGAAAACACACGCGAGTGAGGTGTCAGAATTGACCGAAGCGATTGTGAGTGCAATAAAAATAGCTGGTAAAGATAAATCTTCCCAGCTTCATTTCCTCCAGGAATTACCGGTGTTCGATGGAGACCCGGGTGAATGGATAATTTTCAAAACGGTGTTTGAAGACACAAAAGGCCAATTTTCAGGGGTGCAAAATGTCGCACGCCTTAGGAGGGCATTAAAGGGCACCGCTAAAGAGGCGGTTAAGTCGCTGTTATTTACTTTATGTGAACCTGAAGAAATAATGAACGCTCTCGAAAGAAGATTCGGTAGGGTTGAGATGCTCATTCTAGCCGAAATCGAGAATGTAAAGCGTATGCCAAGATTGGCAGAAGATTGCCGAAATATAGGATCTTTTGCAAGTCGTATTACGAACGTGGTTGCCACAATACAAGCGTTGAATCAACCACAGTATTTATACTCACCGGAGTTAGTGAGCCGCATAGTGGAGAAACTTGGAACTATGATTAAATTTAAATGGTTTGAATATCGAGCTCAATATCCTTTGGAGCCAGAGTTACAGAAGATGGCCAAGTTTTTAAATTTATTGAGTGAACAATTTGGAACGTCCTTAAGCAATGAAAATGCGCCTGAAAAAAGGAAGCGTCCTGAATTCAGGAAGCAAACTGTACACACTGCAAAGGGAGGTGTACGCAGCTGTGCCGAGAGCGAGCGCTATATGCGCCGAAGTAATATGAGCGAGCGTTTAGAACGCCGAAATAATAAAAGGCACAACCGACAAGTGGTTATGATAACCCAGGACAAGCCTGTAAGTCGGGTAACACATAAGTGTGTTATATGCAACAAGGAGCACTCTATAGTGAGTTGTTACAAGTTTAAGGACATGAATATTCGCGAGAAATGGGAAGCCGTCAAAAAGGCCAAAGTATGTTTCCAATGTTTGTCACCTAACCATAGGAGGTTAGAGTGCAAAGCGAAAAAATGTGGTGTAGAAGGATGTAGAATGTCACATCATCGAATGCTACACCGATACCCCAATGAAAATACCTCGCCACAAGGGGACGAGGGGGGTAAAGATGCTCAGATTACAACTGTTAGTACAGTAAATGCACTGGCATGTGCATATTTAAAGATCATACCGGTCGAGTTGCATGGGCCTAGAGGAAAGG